CCTATTTTTTTCCTCCTTCTTCTGCCAAAAAAAAAAAAAAAAAAAGAAGATAAAAAATTCCCTCCTGTCATCAATAAAAAGGGAGCCTGGAAAGGAATGCAGTCCCCAATGCATAATTCATCTCCAGCACCACCCTGGGGCTGGATTTACCACAGCTAATACATGCAAACCGAGTTTGGGGCACTCCATGTGAAAATTAAAGGTGGGAGAAAAGGGGGTGTTTTTTTTTGGAAGCAGAAAGCGGCTCTGCAGCATTCCCTGTGGATGCAGCTGCAGGAGGGGGCTCGGCACCCAACACAGGAGGGGAGAGAGCCAGAAATGAGGGACAGCAGCAAGGAAAGGCTGGTTTGGGCAGTGCCAGGCGGGGATGGGCCCGCTCAGGGGGATCATCTCAACCCCCACCCCGGAGCCTCCCACCCATTCCCGAGGGATGCAGATCCACGAGTTCTGGGGATGCCCCTACCTGGGCACGGAGGGTGGTGGCCTCGAGCACGGTGACCTGGTTGGCACAGCTGGCCCACAGGGTGTCCTCCAGGGTGAGCAGGGCTCGCACGGGGCCGCTGCCCACGGCCAGGCGGGTGGGCGGCACTGCCGGCTCCCACAGCCCCCCTGCGGCACGGGGAGCAGGCTCAGGGGGCAGCACCCACTGGGAAAGCCACCCCTGTGTGGAGCTGAACCCCCCCAGTGTGTGCTGGGCTCACTGGGGACCCTCCACCTCTCCAAGGATCCCCATTCCCCAGCCAGAAGGATAAAGGGAGGGTTATTCCCCCCCACACCATTCCAACCCCTCCAAAATCCCCCTGCTCCCGTGCAAACAGCTTTGGAGCAGGGAACACTGCCCACCTGCAGCACTCAGGCACATTCCTTGTTGGAAAAGCCAAAAATCCCCCTTTTTCCCCATTTATTTGCTCTTCAAGTGACACTCCAGGGCCGTTCTGGAGTGTCCCTGTGAACAGCTTCCAGTCTGGATTTGGATGAATCCACCACCAGCAGCTTCAGTACATAATCACTCTCCTTTTTTTTTTTGTATTTCCAATGCCTTTTTTTTTTTTTAAAACTCAAACCCTAAGATCTGATGGATAAAAGAGCCCTTTGGATCCTCCAACCTCTTCTCCCATCAGCAGGGGTTTGCAACTGATTCCTCTTTCAGCAAATCCTCGTTTCAGCTATTTCAGGGGAGCTTTTGCCTTCCAAAAAAATAGGGGTAAGATTAAAAACTCCACCCTGCAGCCCTGCCAGCAGCTTGCTGTGCATTTACACAATCAAAATCCAATTAAAAGTGGCTTTAATTGGCTCCCAGGGTTGCTGTAATTTGGGAAAGGGGACGTGCAGCACCCAGAAATGCAATTTAAGGGGGTTTAGTGGCTCAGGGTTGACTTGGGTGCTGCTCCCTGCAGGTTCTTGGAGAAAACAAGGGGGTTTGTTCAAAAATAGGCCAAGTTCCACATTATTTGAGGCTCTTTCCTACCCTCTAGCGACGAAAAAAAGGTATTTACCCAGGCAAGCAGTCCCTGGGGAGGGATGAAAGCTCAGCCTGAGCCAGAACCAGGGCAAATAAACACGAACTCAAGCCGATAAAGCAAAGAGTCTCTGCGTGAGTGACGGTTGGAGGGGACCAGCTCCATTTACAGCACCAAAAAGGTGATTTTTGGAAGGCAAAAGCTCCAAATCCTTGCACATCCCATCATCAGACCCTTCCTGCAGCCCCCAAGCAAAGCCTTTGCTGCCCTATCCGGCCCTCAGCAGGATAATTTTCCCCCTGTTACCCGCCCAGAACAAATCCATTTTGCATTCAGTGAAAAGCAACAGTTTTCCTGCCCAGGGCTGCGAGGGGAAGGACGAAACTTTGGGGGTAAAACCCAATGAAAAACAGAGATTTATCACTATTTCAGCGGCCCCGGCACGAGAACCTCCTAATTCCACGAAGACCTTCTTATTCTAGGGTTTTTTTTTTTTTAGGTTTCCCCCCAAAAGGCGTGTCCTCACCGTTGCTCCGGGGATAGGCGGCCACGGTGCCGTCCTGCAGGCCGGCAAACAGGAACTCGGGGCTGTGCCTCAGGCACAGGATGGGCTGCATGCCTGGGCTTTTGCAGCTCAGCAGGCACGGCGTTCCCGTGTCCACGCTCCCATAGACCAGGATGCTGCAGAGGGAAGGGGGGTGGGAGCTGCAGGAGGCCCCGCTGCTCCCCTGGGGTGGGGGTGGTTGGGGTGGGGGCAGCGGGTCGGGGCTCACCTGCCATCCTGCAGCCCCAGGCACACGGTGGGGTGAGGGGCTGAGGGGGGCTGCTCGCCCCCTCGGGGCTCCTGGCAGCCCGGGGGATCGCCTTCCTCCGGCTCCGGGATGTATTCCATGCACAGCACCGGCGAGGCCACCGGGAAGGACTTGACGGTGCGCGGCACGGCGCGGTTCAGGGAGAAGATCTCCACCTGCCCCATCGCGCCCTCCTGGCCGCCCCCCACCTGTGGGGGCCACACAGCGGGGTCAACACCCACCACCACCCCAGGGGGGAAGGGGCTTGGGGACAGAATGGTCCAAAGGCGGGGGGTTTGGCCCCGTTTTTGGGGGGGTTGCTCACCCAGAGGTAGCCCTGCGGCAGCGACGTGCTGACGGCGGAGAAGCCCAGCAGGGAGGACTGCACGGGGTTGTGAACTGCAGCTCCGAGCTGGGGAGAGAGCAGGGCAGCACCCCCAAAATTATCCAAAACAACAGGCAGGACGGCAGTGGACACCCCAAAATCGGGGAGCCAGCCACAGCCCAGCTGGTATTTCCAGCATTCCAGGGTGGGCTGCACCATTTTCTGCCCTCACGACCAACTTGGGACGCCCCATCCACCGTGGGGTTTCTGCCCTTCTTCTCCAAAAGGATGGAGGGAAAGGGGCAAGGGAGGACCCAAATTACCCCAACATAGGCAGGACAGCAGTGGACACCCCGAAACTTGGGATCCAGCCACAGCCCTGCTGCTGTTTCCAACTTTCCAGGGTGGGCTGCACCATTTTCTGCCCTCGCGACCAACTTGGGACACCCTGTCCAGTCCCACCCACTGTGGGATCCTGGCCCTTCCTCCCCAAAATGAGGGATGGGAAGGCAAGCGGGGATGGAGAAGAGATTGCTCTTGGCTCTCACCTGCAGATCAAGAGCTTTGGAGGAGAAGGCTGGCATGTGGCACGAGAGGATGGGGCACCAGAAAGGGGCTTTGCTCTTCTTGTCTTCGTCGGGACAGAGCCAGCCCGGCTGGTTCTCCTCCCCTGCACAGACACAAGGAGGTCAAGGGTCACCAAGACCCTAAGGAGACCCCAAGATTTATAAGTGGAGGTGCAGGGCTCTCACCCCCAACCCCAAAGCACCGTTATCCATGGATTTGGGATACACCTCACCCCGTGCTCCAAATTATTGCAGCGCACGGCCAAGGAACCGCCTCCAGCAGCAGCAAAAAAGTCCCAAAAAACAGATACAGAAGGGCAAAAAACCACCCCCTGATGTGTTTCTTCACATCAGGCTTTAATGTGTTTTCATTTCTAACTCGTGGATACAGGATTATCCCCCAGGATAAAAAAAAAAAAAGGGAAAACAAAACACGAACTGTTAAAAAACAAGAGACTCATAACTTATTCCAGCCCAGGGGGATCCGAGCACTCAAACAGAATTTGAAATTATTTTTATTTTCTTCTATTAAATTTATTTTTGCTGCTGCAGTGCTTGAAGGAGTTATAGAGGGATAGGGATTGGGAAGTGGCAGGAGGCTCCTCCCTTGCTCATTCATCCCATTCCATGGAAAATGGGTCAGCCCTGACCCTGTTGCCATGTGAGCCAAAGGAAACCTGTCACTTTGTGTCTCCAGCCTGGAGATCCCACCCCAGAGCAGCAGATCCCAAAGCATTTGGAGCCAAAGCTCCCAATTCCCACCCTGCAAATCTCCAAGATGTTCTCCATGCCCTTACTCCCAGTGTTCCCCCCTCCCCTCCCTGCCCTGTTGGGGTTGGGAGTGATGCTCCCAAGCCTGGCTTTTCCAAGGAATGCTGGTGGCTACTCACTCAGGCCTATCTTGGCCAGGTGCAGGCGGTTCACCCAGGAGATCTTGCTCAGTGGGCTGGGGGTGATGAACACGACCATGACGCTGATGGGGCGGCCGGACCTGCGTGGGCAAAGCACCCCCTGGGTGGGTCCTCAGCATCCCTGGGTGGGGCCTCAGCACCCCCAGGGTGGGTCCTCAGCACCCCCAAGGCTGGGAGGAGACCCCATGAGCACAGACTCACTTGTCCGGCTTCCCAGGGAGCAGGAGCCGGAGGCGGCACTTGTTGGCAGAGTGGATCTCCTCCTCCTTCACCTTCATCATCCTCTGCAGGGCCAGGCACCAGTCCTGGGCCACTGTCATGTTCAGGTTCTGGGGGAAAGACAGAGGTGGGGGAAGGGCCCCCAAAACAAGCCTGAACCACCCCCAGATTTCATCTGTGGGGCTCCAGAGGAGGTGTCCCCAAGGACGTGCCCAGTGATCCCCCAGAAGGTGCCCAGAGACCCCCAAAGAGGTGCCCAGAGACCCCCAAGGAACCACGTGGCGCTTGGGAAGGGCCCAAGGCTGGTTGTACCCAAACCACGGCCCTGACAGTGCTGTGGGTACCTGGTAGGTGCCGTGCAAGGTGCTGATGAGAAGGGTGATCTGCTCCACCACCGCCAGGTCCTTCTGCAGGTCCTGCAGCTCCTGGAAGAGCCGTGGTGGCCCCAGGTAAACTTTATCTAGGGAGGAAAAATGGAGAACTGAGGTCCGTGGAAGATCCCAGAATCGGTAAGGTTGGAAAAGACCCCTGAGACTGAGTCCAACCTTTGACCCAACACCACCACATCAACCAGACCCTGGCACCAGGTGGTCTCTCCTTACAGACCCCCAGGGATGGTGTGTCCACCCCCCTCCCAGGGCAGACTGTGTGTGACTTTATCTTGCGTGGAGAACTGGAGAACTGAGGCCCACGGAGGATCCCAGAAACAACTGGGTGGGGAAAGACCTCCGAGATCGAGTCCAACCTTTGACCCGACACCACCACGGCACCGAGTGCCCCGTTCAGCCTTTCCCTAAAGACCTGCAGGGACGGGGATTCCACAACCCCCTGGGGCTGCCCAGTGTGTGAGGGAATGCTTCAAAGCAGCCCCCAGAGCCCCCCCAGCTCCAGGCTGGCGGGGTGTGCCCTCACTGTGCGAGGCCTGCCCGGCAGGCGCGTGTCTCTTGGCCCCGGCGTTGTGGATGACGACGTTGTCCTTGTCGTAGGCGCCGCTCTCCTGCCCCACCTCCACCACCTGCACCTGCGGGAGGGCCGTGCTCCACTTCAACACGTATTTGGGCCCCAGGGGCACCAGGCTGCTGATTTCCAGTTGGCCTCTGCCGAGGGGAGAGGGGAAGACGGGTGTAAATGAGCGGCAGGTGCCTCGGCTCGCCCCGAGCAGCGAGTCGTGCAAGCCAAGCCCCGTTTGTGAGCCCACACCATGCACCAGTTCGTGCCTGAACCCCCAGCTCGGGGCACACAAACACAGCAGACCATGTTTGGGACCTACCCTGCGTTCACCGGCCTGGAAAAGGGGAGAAAGGATTAATAAGGAAGTTTCAGGAGGAATTTAAGGAAGGTTTTCCCCTTGGCAGCATCGACCTCCCCCAGACTCTGAGGTTCCAGCAGGTTCCTGGACCCTGCACTGACTCCAGCACCAAGGAATGCAGGCTTGGCATGGAGAGTGCCAAGAATGGGGCAAAGAAACCCCAGACCAGGTGGGTTCCCCCTCAAAACAAGGCAGGGTGGCCTTTAAAGGTCCTGTCCCTCCTTGCGGTAGTTCCCCAAAAATCCCACCAAGCCAAAAATTAAGGTGGGGACGGGGTAAGTTGGGTGTATCTGCACTTTACAAAGCAATTGTGGGACCAGGGGGGACCAGCACGTACTTGAAGTTGATGTTGGCACAGACCAACATGTCGTTGAGCAGGAAAACCTTCCTCTCCTTGGACTTGATGAGCTGCCCCCGGTCCCCGTACACCGTCTCCGTCAGCGTCTCGCAGAGCAGGAGCTGCCTCTGCCCCGAGCTCAGCAGCTGCAAAGGGATGGAGCAGGTGGGGGGTTCAGCCTGGGGGCTCTTGGAAGCCTCCTGACCCAAAATCTGGGCCGGGTTTCCATTCTCACACGGATTTTCCTCCAGCCGGGCGCACGCGCAGCCCCGAGTTCCGAGGCTGCACCCTTTGCACCCCGCGTGTCCAACCACCCTTTTCTGGGCGTCTCTTCACGCCCTGCACCCCAATCCTGATCCCAGGGCCAAGCCAGCGGGTGCCCCGCTGCGGGTTTTGCCATCCCCAGCCCAGGAAGTGTCGCAAGAACTTCAGGCTCTTTTTTTAAACACAAACAGTTGCGAAATCGGGGGGATGAGACCCAGCAGCTCCTCCTGGGAGAGGAATTTTCCTGCGCCAACCCCAAGACCTGGTTTTGATTCGAGTCCTTCCAGGGAAAGCAGGGATCTGCAAAAACCCACCCATGAGGAGGACGAGGAGGGGAGGTCGAAGGGCCCACCTTGTTGAGGCTGCTCCTGTCACTGATGCTCTTGCTGAGCTGTTGGATTTCGGCCACCTGGTCGGCCAAGCGCTTCTGCTCGTTGAGCTTCTCCGCCAGCGTCTCCAGCTCGGTGAGGGCCAGCTGCAGGGACAGGCGGTCTGCGTGGCCCTTGGGGGTGTTCTTCAGCATGTCCTGGAGTAGGGAAAGGGGGGGAACAAAAATCACCCCGTGAAAAATCAGCCACGTTCGGAAGCACCTCCAAAACCAGAGCTTGGAAGGCGGTCCTTGGGATGGTCCCCAAACACGCCCCCAAGCTGCCAACCCTAAAACGTGCCAAAAAACGGGTGCAAAGGCACGTCCCAGGGGTGCAAGGCAAGGTGGGTGCAGGTATCTCTCTCCCGTACCTGCAGGAGAAGGATGAACTGAGGGAACCTCTGGATGGGTTTCACCATCAGCCCGTAGAGCGTGACCCGGTCAGCACTGGCCATCTGCCTCTTCTGTGGGGGGGACAAAGGCCAAAAAAAAAAAAAGAGGAGTTTTCACCCCAAACGGTGCCCAGCAGCAGGGTGGGCCCACATTTGGGGGGTGCTGACCTTGAGGAAGTCGAGGAAGGCAGGTTTGGTGAGACAGGCCTTCTTGATGAGGGACATGGCCGTGGTGAAGTTGTTGACGTAGTCGCTGTAGACATCCAGCACCATGGACTTGGAGAACTGGGGAGAGCACAGCAGAGCTGGGATGGTGTGGAAGTCCCCCAAAAGTGGGGGGTTAGCGTGTTTTTGGGGTGATGCTGAGTGTGCTGGTGGGACCCCAAGGCTGGAGCTGCGTCGCTTAAATCCTCCACCCGCCCCCCGGTGTCGCTGGGAGGGTCCAGGGGGATTTTGGTGGTGGCTGGGGCAGGTTCTACCCTGAGCAGGCTGGAATGCAGTCAGGGAATGCAAACAACACCAGCTCTCCTCCAGAGTGGCTGTGCTGAGCTCCTGCTGGGGCCAGGAGGTGTTCTGGTGTTCAGTTGTGCCCAAACCAGCCGGGTTCACCAAACTCCAAACACAGCCTGCTCTCGGAAGCAGCATCTGATGGATAAGCTGCTCCCTGGCCTGGAAATGTGTGAGCAGCACACTCTGCTACAATAAAAGCCCAGGCCACCTTCACAGGGGAGGGTTTTGCAGCATAACCCTTCTTGGGGTGGTTGTGTGGAGATCCCTCCCTCAGGTGGGGACACTCCTGGAGACTGAGAGAAAGGAATCTCCCCACAGCCGTTGGTCTGGGTGAGTGTAAACAAACCTCCACCTGACAGTTCTTTCCTTTTGCTATAATATAACTGCTCCAATAATTGCTTTACTATCATGCACCATCCTATCCTACAGCAGTAGGTTTAGCTTTTAGACTGTGCAGTAAATCATTCTGATGGAGATCTTCTGTCCGATCACTTGTACTAATAAATAATCCATTTGACATAAATACCCTCAGTTTGCCAGAGTCAAAACCTGCAGGACAGCAGTGGTTCCATCACACCTCTCTAACGCCTCACATTGAAGCTGGTGACATAATCTGAGGCTAAGATGGGATCCAGCTCCATCCCCTTGGAGTTAAGGAAAGTGGGGGGGGGCCTTTCTGCACCTCCTGATTGCAGGGCAGGGCTTCTTAAACAGCTTTGTCACAGCAGAGGGTGCGTTTCTCCTGGATTTCACAGAATCACCGAGGTTTGAAAAAGACTCCCAAGATCATCCATCCCAACCTCTGACCCAGGCCCGCCTCGTTACCCCGACCGTGGCACTGATGCCACGTCCAGTCTCCTCCTAAACCCCTGCAGGGTCGGTGACTGCACCCCCTCCCCGGGCAGCCCCTTCCAAGGCTGGATCGCTCCTTCTGGAAGGAGTTTCCCCCTCAAATCCCTCCTACCGAGGCCACGAAGAGGTCCCCGATCTTCTCGGCCGAGTCCCACTCGGCCACGCGGGAGGCGAGGGCGATCTGGAACATGGAGTGGCACTGCAGGATCTCCTTCAGCCGGAAAAACACCACCTGGCACTTCCTGGCGCTCAGCACCTTGGGCTCCATCTCCAGCAGCGGGTTCCTGTAATCCTGCGGGAGCGGCGGCGCCTCAGCACCCCAGGATCCGCGGGGACACCCCCAGCCAGGCCCCCCAGGGATCCCACCTGCAGGATGCGCTTCAGGGACTCCACGTAGCTCCGCTCGCTCTGCACGATGGAGCCCAGAATGTGCCGCCGCACCACCTGCGGGACAGCGGGAATCAGCCGGGACCCCCAGCCCCGAATGGTGGGGTGACCCAAACCCCAAATGGTGGGGTGACCCAAACCCCAAATGGTGGGGTGACCCCAAACCCCAAATGGTGGGGTGACCCCAAACCCCAAATGGTGGGATGGCCCCAAACCCCAAATGGTGGGATGGCCCCAAACCCCAAATACCAGGATGGTTCCAAACCCCAAATGGTGGGATAGCCCCAAACCCCAAATACCAGGATGGCCCCAAATACCAGGATGGCCCCAAACCCCAAATATCGGGATGGCCCCAAACCCCATATACTGGAATGGGGGGGCTCAGCCATGGTCCCAAACCCAAATACCAGGATGGTCTCAGACCCCAAACGCTGGGATGGTCCCAAACCCCAAATGCTGGGATGAGGGGTCAGCCATGATCCACCCCCCCCTAAACCCCGGGATGGGGGAACTGCAGGCCCAGCTGGGGCAGAAATGCTGACACAGCATCACTTGGAGCTGACTCTCCCTGTCCCTGGTTCCTCAGTCACGGGACTAGAGACAAGACAATTTTCCCCCAAATCCCCCCAAGCCCCCAACCCACGCCAGTCCCACCTGCTGAGGGCTCAGCCCCTCGGGCATGGGGCCCAGCTCCGGCGGTGGGTGCTTCATGTCCGACACCGTGACCTCCAGGAACCCCGTGTCCTCCTCCTCCGAGTCCCCTGCAGGGAAAGACACCCCCACAAAATGCCAAAAAAAACCAAGTTTAAACTTTTCGGGGTCTGGAGCTCCATCAGCTCCGTGGCAGGGGATGTGTTTGGGTTTGGAGGTGAATCCCAGAGTTCCTCCCTGAGCTCACACCACAGTCACCAGACACTGGGATGAGCCAGGCTGGGAGCAGGGAGAGGACAAGGAGAGTCCCCACTCCCAAAAACCCACCCTGGCTGGGGAAAAAGCCCCCTTGTCCTCTCTCCAGGGGCAGGTGGAGCAGGGAAAATGGGAAATAAGAAGCCAGAAGCAGCAGGCAGAGAAAAACAGGGAAGGGGAAGGCACAGAGATCCCTCACCAGAGGCTGAAGCAGCAGAGGAGGAGGAGGGCGAGCGAGCCAAGGAGGCATCCCGAGGGAAGCACGGCCGCCTCTTCCACATGGCCCCCTCCGGCCACCCGGCCCATCCCGGGAGTTATAAATAGCCGGGAAGGGGCAGGACCGGCCGGGCTGGAGGGGAGGGCGTTGGCAGCCGGCTGACTTTTTTTCCTTCCCTAATTTTGGCCGGGACAAATCGCTGCCCTCGGCTCCGCCAGCTCCACCTTCTCCCCATCCCCACGTGCCAGGGATGCTCCCGGGCGATGGGAATCCCTCCAGCTCCTCCCAAAAGCGTCGAAGCCCCCACCCCAGCGAGGCAAAGCCAGGGTGGGGACGTGCAGCCAGGCCAGGGGAAACACACACGCGGGATCCCCCGGGAAGCTCCGGCCGGACCCCGGGGCCGCCCATCGGGATCGTACCTCCCCCGTGCTGCTCCAGGGACACCCTCGAGCTCCGGCGGGAAGGCGGCGGCTTTCCCGCCTCCTCCGCCCTCCTCCTCCGCTCCCCATCCCCTACGCGACAGCAGGAAAGTCAGGAAAACCCCTCCTCAAAGCCGGTATTCCCGGGAAGATCCTGCTCTGTGACCAAAGACACCCACGGGTGCTCCCAAAGGGACATGGAGCAAGAAGGGACCGAGCTTGCACAGGGATGCCAAGAGTGGAAAACAGTCAAATAGAAGCTTAAAATGCAGAAAATAAATCGGAAATAAAGGAAATGCTGAAAGGGATGGGGATTCCTGGAGATTATTTTTAAAGATACCCTAAAAAAAGGTGCCTTTTTGGCCCCGGAAGGGGAAGGGGGGGTTGGTTTTCCCCGCTCACCTGGTGTTTCTTTCCGGTGCAGGAACGTCACCTTCCTCATCACCGCGATCTTGGTCTTCTCCAGACCATCCTTGGTGCCACTTTTGGCCGCTTTCATCAGCTGGGTCATCTGGGGAGGGGGAGGAGAAGGATCGGGAGGCTCAGGCAGCACCGGGATCCCATTCCGGACCCAGATGGAGCCGTGTCCTTCCCCTGGGCATCGTGCCCCACTTGGGATCCAGATGCAGAGGCATCATCCCTGTTTTCCCATGCAGCAGGAAGGGGAGGCACATATCCAGGGAACAGGGATGCTCCATCCTGTGCCCCATCCGTAGGGATATGGCCGAGTGCAAGCGGGATCATGCAGCCAAGCGAAGCAGAGGGAGGGAAGGGAGGCAGGAGCACATCCATCCCCTCCTTGTGCAGGGATTTTATGTGGGGGAGAGCAAAGGGGGCGGGGGGGAAGTGTTGGCCTTTCACACCTCAGATCACAGCGTCTCAGCCCAAACTTCCAGCCAGGAAACACCTGGATGGTTTGGGGGCTGGGAAAGGCTTTGCGCTACGGTTCTCCCAAAAATCTCCTTCCCCACCCGATTTCCACCACAGAGCAGGGGAAAAAAAAACCTTGTCAGATCCATCTATCCCGTGGGAAACCCGGCGCCGTCCGAACACCCCTTTAAAAACAAGGAAACACCCCAAAATCCAACGGTTTGGGAAGCTGCAGGACGGGGAGCTGCAAGACAGATGGACATGAGAGGCAGCTTTGAGGTGCTTCACTGAGTTTGTTTCTCTTTTTGGGGAGGATGAAATGGGATGAATTCAGCCTGGAGAAATTCCACGAGGTTTTGTTGTTGTTTTTTTTTTTTTTTTCCTCCCCCTGGGAAATTTGGGGGAGAAGGGACAAGGGATGGCGGAGGGACAGTACCTTCCAATCGTACTTCTGCTTCAGCTCCTGCATGTCCTTCCCCCCAACTCTTAAAGCCAGGATGTCCCTCTTAGTCCTGGCGTATCTCTCCTTTAGTCTATTCAGGTCTGGAGAAAGCTGAGCTCAAGCAAACCAGGCAGGAGGAGGAGGAGGAGGCAGAGAAGAGATCCAGGTAAGCAGCAAAAACCAAACAAAGAGCAGAAATCCCCCCAGAGCAGCAGGGCCCAGGCAGCACCATCCCAAAAGCCTGGCTTGGCTCGAGCAGGGAAGGGAGCAAGCGCAGGGAAAAGCAGCAGCCAGGCTCCAGCAGGGCCCAAACGCAGAAGGAAAAGGGGGAAAAATGAAAAAGGGAAGGAAGGAAAACGGAAAGAAATGAACCCCCCCCGAGTTTGGGGCTGAGCCGCAGCATCCTCGGCTTCACCAGCCACGGGAGCAGCTGGGCTTGGTGCTCCACTGCCTTTGGACAAGCAAACCCAGGGAAAAAACAACAATAATGGTCATAGAGGGGTGATGCAAAGGTTACCTTGGGCTGGAAGGACGCTCGGTGTTTGGTGGGCTCGGCTTTGCTTTCCTCTGCAGAGTCCTCGCTGTAACTCTCGAACTCGCTGGAGCTCCAGCCCAAATCCTCGCTGATCCGGGACCCCTCTCCTCGCTGCACCTCCTCATAGATCAGGCTCCTCTCCCTTGCCGCTCCTGCCAAGGAAAATCCAGCTCCTTTCCCTTACAGGAAGGCAAATTCCCTTCCTCAGGGCCCCCCAGAGACACCCCAAACCCTCGCACCTCCCTCCCAATCCCACTGGTTTGCCCCCAGCTATCCCGCTCCACATCCTCTTTGAGGATGGTCTCCTTCCCTGAGTGCCTCATTTTATCCAGCTGGAAAATGGGCTCCTAGCCCTTGGGAAAGGGCGGGGGAAGGTCTATCCCTACCATCCTGCTCGGCATCCAGGCTTTCGCAGGGAACGTCGTCGTAGATCACGTCGTCCTCCACCTCCGGGAAGGAAAACCGCTCACCTTTGATGGACAAACCCCCCCCGGGGGCTGGCTCAGCACCCAGGCTGGAGAAATCCTTCCCAAGCCTTGGCAGGGGGGGTTGTCCCAGCCTCTGGACCCACCTCGGCAGATGCTCTCCCTCTTCCAGGTCCGGGTGCGGATGGGGGGGTCTCCCCCAGCCTCCCCATTGCTCATCCTCACCGGGGCCCTGTGGGGAGGGGGGGTCAGGGAGCATCCCAGGCTGCAAATCCCTTGGGATTGGGTGCAGCCAAGCCCCTCCCCACCCCCATTCCCATTCCAGGGGTTCACAGGCCCAAAATAAAGCTTGTGTGTCCCCCCTGCCTCCTCCCATCTGCTTCTTCATGGATCTGGGGGGTGCCCCTGGTCTCAGGGTCACACTCAAAGATAATGCAAAACACCCAAAATTGGCTTTTTTAACTTCAGTCCATGTGCTGCTGCAGGGCAGGGGGTGTGCCAGCACTGGGGAGCACAGGGAGAGGGTCCCCCTCTGTTCCTGGTGGGGTCCTGTCCCTCTCCCCACACCCTGTTCCTGCTCTGCCAGGGGTACAAGCCCTCCTTGCAGCCAAATTTCCAGCTTTTCCCCCCAGATCCACAGCTGGGGAGGAAACCAGCCCCTTCCAACACCATCCCAAGGGGATTCTCCCCAATCCCCTCCAGCTGGGGGCTGGAGGAAGCCCCCACCACCTACAGCCCTCACAGACCCCCAGGGCTGGGGGGTGCACCCCAAAATCCCAGAGATCCCTCCCCTTGCAACAGGGAGAAGTTGGGGAAACTGAGGCACAGCACCAGGCTGAGACATCAAACAGAGGGGATAGACCCCAAAACTCCTTCAAGGGACTCAAAATCCCCCCCAAACCCCCCACACCCCACCAATGCCCCCACAGACCCCCAGGATTACAAAAACTCCAAAACACCAGGGCACCCCCTGCTTGCAGAGCTTTGGAAAGACAGGAAGTTGGGGAAACTGAGATTCAGCACCAGGCTGAGACATCAAACAGGGGGGACAGGCCCCAAAGATCCTTCAGGGAACTCAAACCCACCCAAAATCCACCCCCCTTAAGGACTGCAGCTGCACCCCAAAACCCCGGGGCTCCCCTGCCTGCAGCCCCTTCACCGGAGAAGGGGGAGAAGCCAGGGCAAGGGAGGCTCAGCACCAGGCTGAGTGCTACAGTCTCACACTCCCTGGTGAATTGACCATACCAACAACAGCCTCTGCTGGGACAAGACAAACATCAGGCCTGAGTGACTGTCCTGTTGAAAAACAGCTCATGGATCTCTCTGCCAAGGTGGGGCTCTCTCTGCTCCTCCTGCCAAGGTGGGGCTCCCCCTGTTCCTCCTGGGTGGAGGGAGCCGGGCCGAGGGGTCTGAACCCAGCACAGCTCACACTGAACTGCAGCCAAACCAGGGCAGCAGGCCAGGGTGGGGAGGGGGGAAAAGGGGATATCCCTGGAAAAGAATGGCAGTGGGAGGGGTTCAACCTGCCTGACCATGTGAGGGGCTGTGTGGGGAGCACTCCGGGACACGACCTGCCCTGTGCCCACCCACCCCTTCCCCGCTGCCTCTTGTCCCTTGCCTGCTCCTGCTGCCCACCAGGCAGCCCTTCCCGAGCCCAGGGGACCCAGAGCCGGGGGGAATTCCCTTTGTAAAATGTGGGAGCCCTGTTTGCCCCCCGAGCCACAGGCAGCTCCCTCTGTGCCCTGGGAGGAGCCCTGTGTGCCTGGAGGAGCTCCCTGTGTGCCTGGAGGAGCTCCCTGTGTGCCTGGAGGAGCTCCCTCTGTCCCTGTGTGCCTGGAGGAGCTCCCTCTGTCCCTGTGTGCCTGGAGGAGCTCCCTCTGTCCCTGTGTGCCTGGAGGAGCTCCCTGTGTGCCTGGAGGAGCTCCCTCTGTCCCTGTGTGCCTGGAGGAGCTCCCTGTGTGCCTGGAGGAGCTCCCTCTGTCCCTGTGTGCCTGGAGGAGCTCCCTGTGTGCCTGGAGGAGCTCCCTCTGTCCCTGTGTGCCTGGAGGAGCTCCTTGGGTGCCCTGTGGGAGATGCCTTGGAGTTTTTAAGATCTGTGGCCAATACGGGGTGGGGAGGGAAGATCTGGGAGTGAACAGTTCTCAGGTGGGATGGATTAGCACTATAAAACTGTAAAGCTCAGGTAAAACCCCAGGACAGCCGTGTGCACCTGAAGAGCGCTCACTGAGGAGCTGCTCCCTGTCTTCTCTAAACCAACGTGGTTTGGAGAATTTCCTCCCATTTTCCTGGCATCCCGGGGAGCCCCGTTTGCCAGGGGAAATGCCTCTGTGCCCCAGGACCAGCCCCCTGCTGTCTGTGGCTGTGACTGCGCCGAGGCAGAAAATACCAAATAATGCCAGTGAAAGCTTCGGTAACAGTGCTGTAGCCTGTTCTGTTCTATATAGATATATATTTGTCAGTAAAGAGCTGTTATTTTTCTTTTCCACACCTTTTGGCCTGAAGCCTCCTAATTTTGAAGTTGTAATAATTCAGGAGGAGGAGTTTGGGTTTTTTCTATCCTGCCCTCCCTTAGTAAAATATTTTGTTTTGTTAAAAGATGCTGGGACATCAAACAGAGGGGACAGACCCCAAAGGTCCTTCAAGGGACTCAAAACCACATCAAATACCTCCAAATTCCCCCCAAAACGCCACCAAAGCCCTCACAGATTCCCAGGGCTCGGGGATGCACCCCAAAATCCCAGGGATACCCACCCTTGCAATGGGGAGAAGTCGGGGAAACTGAGGCACAGCACTGGGCTGCGACATCAAACAGCGGGGACAGACCCCAAAGATCCTGCAAGGGACTCAAAATTGTCCCAAAGCCCTCCAAAATCCCACTAAAACCCCACTTACCCCTCCTGGGTCTCTGGCACCAGCCCCTCTGTGGAGAGGAAAAGCAAAGAGAGGCCGTGTTGGCACCCACAGGGGACCCGGAGGGGACACCAGGGACAGCGTGGGGACATCGGGGACACGGCGGGAATGCGGGAATCGCGCTCTCACCACCCTCAGAGCTGGTCCCACGCCGGCGGCGTGGGGGGGCCCGGAGAACAACGTCCCCCCTGGGATCAGCCGCGGAATCCTCCTCCTCCTCCTCTTCCTCCCCCTCCTCCTCGCTGTCCTCGAAGTCAAAGGCTTCACCCACGTCCTCCCCCACCGCGGGCACCGGGCTGGGCGGCTCGGGGGGCACCGCAGCTCCTGCCGCGGGAACACGGGAAATGGGAACGGGGGACACGGGAAATGGGAAAGGGGGACACGG